TAATGAGATGTTTATCTCTGAGACATACATGCATATCTTCCCCCTAAAAAATCTTTAAGAACAGTGTGTTGAAACCCCTGCTCTACCACTGAGCAGGTAGAAGTTAATATTAGTATAGAAAAGGTGACATTAGCAGGGAATCTGGGCCAAAAACTTGGGATTTAAGCACCAAAGTAATCCCAAAATGAAAATCTGAGGCTTGCCTGCATGGAGCTGGGAAGGACGTAGAGGGACCACAAGGCTGCAGTCTTGAACTTCATGGACAAAGCTGTTGATGACACTCAGTTTTTCACATTACTTTTCCTATTTTGACAGCCTAATTATCAGGAGCAATTTTCTCTTAGATTTATTAGGAATCCATATCAAAGATTCATGGTATGCTTTGACAATATCAGAACAGTGCAGCTTTTTTTCTTCCACGTTTCTAAACAATCCATCAAAAAGCATATAATGAGTATTTCTCTTGCCATCCTTGCTTACCATCCTTCAGAATTTACAGGTCCTTGTTTCTTCATATTATTATATTTTTGTTCTGTTTCTTATATACACAAATGTTATCATTTGAAAGTATCTTTGGCTGGCATTCTAGTTCTTTGAACAACTAGAGAGAAGCTCTCTTATTGTCTGCAATAACAAGACCAAATGATACTAAAAGACACCTGCAATTTAGCCAGATATATTGCAATTTAGCCAGATATATTGCCACTGTATTACCCAGCAGCTAGACTTTTTACATTACACAATTGCTGCACAACACAAGCACCCAAGGGACAGATCTCCCCAAATTACCTTTGATAGACCTAACCACAAGCTAGAATTACTCTCTCACTTCTCTTTTTCCATTAACACTCACATTTCTCACTGCAGCAGTGTCAGCTCCAATGGTGGGACTGAGAACAGCCGCTTCTGACTGTATTGCATGAACTTGTAGCCAAAAGCACTGAGCAGCCACACTGACAAATTTTGGATGAAGGGGGCTGAGAATATAATTTTTACACCAGGAAATACTGGAATTTAGTCACCCATTTATTCTAGAAAAGGTAAGGATCATTTCTTTTCTAGCCCTGCTTTCAAAGGACAAATATTGCCCTAACTTCTTGCCCTACAGTGATTTTCAGATTGACGTCAACAATAGTCACTGTATTTCTCTTCCTAAAAAGTTCTACTGTGGTGAGCACACATCTCCATGAAAACATTATCAGTTGTGTCCAACTATAAACTAAACTCCAGGCTGGAGTATAGGCACCTATACTTTGCCTGGATACAAATATGCTCAGTCTG